CCCCTAATGAAAGAATTGATAGTTATGTTCCATTAAAAGTAAATTTACAAGCCGTTGTGGTTGGAAAATTGCAGTACACATATTGGTGATGATTAAACGATAAAATATTACATTCAGGTATGAATTTTTTAGACATCCGATTTATTTTCCACATATAAACACCACTTTGCATAAAATTGTTAACTGGGATGTTCGAAGAATAGGGTTGCTCGTCCCAAACTGTAAAATGGTTAAGGAACCAAGCAACCTGTGTCGCAAATTTGTTAGCCTCAATCTACCACAGGTCAGAAAATGGAAACTAGATGGATGCGTTCTATTGAGTTAGGAAAATGGGCCTATATTATGAGGTCTGTTTATCGGTTAAAACAATGAGAAAGTCCCCCCCCCCCAACCTAGTTCAACTCGAATTGTGCACAGTAATTGCAAATCATATTAATTTGCATAAACAAATTCTGGCGTAATTATAATCCCAATAACAAAAGGAAGAAAATACGAAATGAAAAACATTAATTTCATCAAAGGAAAGTATCTGACGATTATTCGTAATATTTTTGGCCTCAACGGTGCAAATTGCCGGTAGGTACAGTTCCGGCAACCCCCATCAGAGACCCAGAAAAAAGGAGGATAACTTGCAATTCAATTGTAAATTCTTAAATAGAAATTTGAATTATGGGATTTTTCGAAAATGCGATAAGCCAATAATTGCAGAAGTGGAGAGGTAAGCATCCAAGACCCAATAATCGAATAGCCAGTATAGGAAGAACTAATCACATGAACTCCGCTCTGGTTCTCCATCCCCCATTGCGTTGTAGCGCAGATGTGCTAGGTTTAGGATCAGTACACGAGAAGTATGTGAGGGTTTAATAAGAACCGAACACGGTAAATGAGCGCAAAAATGAGAGCCCAAGTACAGAAAGTACAATGGCCAAAACTACTGTTATACCTATATGAAGAGGTGATTGGGAAAATACAACGACTTGCCATCCAATAGGAGCATGTGGAGACTAAATGGAAATGTAGGAAACTTATTTACGAATAGCACTGCGGCCAACTCCAGAGTCACAGATTTGGTGATTATCGGTTCACACACACATCAGAGATGATCACTGCCCCTAATGAGCGTCGAAAAATGCTTTAATAAATGGGCTTGGCAGTTTCAATTAAAAATTAGAACTAGCGTTAAATAATAAAATAAGCACACGATAGGAAGTAAAGTTTACTAAAACAAACTAGCATACTGTATTATTTGCTATTTAAAATTATTGTTAACAAGAGGCATAAAATCGAGGGTCGTTAATGAAGGTGGCGAAAGCATTGTGGGACACGTTATCGCTGTGTGCGTCATCGTATGCCTGCGTGTCTGCTCGCCAGGATTGGGAGGTGCGGCCGTACAACTCTGTGTGTAGCGACCGTACAAACAGTGACCAATCATCAACCTCTGTTTAACCTAATCCCCCAACCTGATCGTGAATAGCTCCCTGCGTGTACACACTTGATCCGCAATATACGTCCTGAATAAACGTGCTCCGTGCTACACGTCTGTTTCCTTTATAGCTGGGCTATAGCTTATCTGGTTCTGGGAGTCTAGCTAGATGTAGGAGGATCTGCCATAGAGATTTCTGAGTCAGTCAGGCTTTAATAAAGTAGCAATCCGCTACAGTATAAAGTTTTGCTCAATTTCGTTTGTTCCTTCTGTTCCTTCACCTTATTCTATCAAATACTTGGTATCCGTTGGCGAAAAAATATCACAAAAAAATTTCACGGGTAATAAATCAGGCAAAATCTTCCAATCACAATGCAATAAATATTGGTGTGTGCGTGTGGGTGTGTGTGTGTTGTGAACGTTACACAAAATACTTTCTACTCTAGGACTTCAAAGAACTCAGTTATTGTGAAACTGTTGAAGAATTTATAGGCCAGAACCACCCCGCCCCCTACACACACCCCAACCGGTTCAATGATCACTACAACTGCCTCAAACTTGTGATCAATAATCATGGGGACTTATATGGGCATTAAAAGCGTTCTAACCTTACGTTGTAACAAATGAAGTCTTTTGCACCTTAACAGTTTAATATTTAATAATTTCAACAAAAATGTAGTAGCCTTCCAAAACTAGAACCAGACTCCCTATCTTCAAAGTGTGCCTACGGGGGATCTATCAGACCGAAAGGGAGCTGCTAATCTAGAATGTGAATAACAGGGATGTTAATATCCCAACCACAGCTATTGAAACAGACACTCAACTTAAACGGTTAGACCTTGGCGGCTCTGTTAAATTAGTCTTTTAGAACTTCTCATCGATGTCATATTCCCTACACCCACAAATCATTCACAACAGAGGTGACAATCTAGTATTTCGCTGAGGTATTTCGAGGTCTTGATCTATGTCACGTAGGCACCTAGACACCACAATTGCTGAAGACCGATCTCAGTGGTAAATTCAAGATTGTGACATCACACCTCTTCAGCGTAACAAGGAGTATGGCTTCCGTCTTCAAGGCGAGAAATGTACATTCTTTGTGCTCCCATCAAATACCTTGGATGTACCAAGCTTCGAGCTATTACAGAGAGACGTTATAGGCTAAGGGCACCACAAAATTACCCCCATTAATGAGTCTCATTAGCGGCTGCAGTACATTTCTGCCAACACTGCATCATGTAGCCAAGACCGATTTGTAAAAACTAAGAACGCGTAAAAAAACTTTTAGAGACAATGACGGCCATAAGCAATAAGAAGACAAGGAGATATTTAAAGCGAAAATAAATGGATATAAGCGACAATCTCAATGGATATAAAAATATATTCAGGTTATAACTTGAACAAAGAGTACCGCGATAGGGCTACAATAACTGATTTAAATTTTCTTGCTTAAAGGGGTCCTCATTCGTCAGGAGACTCAAAAATGTCAACATATTTTCCTCCACTCCTAACTAGAACCCCCC